ATTCGAGTTGATCTTACTTACTGTAGCTTCATTTTATTCCATTTTAGGGACTGTGCAGAGTCTCAGAAGGAAGTATGAAGAAATCAAAGAGCTCTGTTTTATAGCTCGTTGATATGATTTGCGTAAGGAGAAACAGAATTTTATTTCGGTCGGGACATCTCGTCTGGAAGAATACCGTGGTGTGCTCACCACGTTAAGATGGGTGTGACCGCCGACCGCGATCGTATCGCGCGGGTTTGTTTAAATAATCGGACGTTTCGGGACCGTGGCAGGTATCTCCATGTCGGCATCTGACCAACCAATATGTATGATAATTTCAACATGCCTACAGCTCATAATAGATCCTGAGTATGTGCCAGCTGAAGGATACGAGCATAAAAGAATCCAAGGACGTGTATATTGAACTTCAAATTTGGACAAGTATGGTCCAAGTGAAAAGTGGGAATTAAAGAGCATACATTCTGATATTCTGCTTTCCAAATTCTATCTGGTTATTGTTTTTTAAATTCTGATAGTTATTTATTTATATTTATAGTTAGTTATATATTAGTTATTTATTTATATTTCTGATAGTTATTTATATTTTAAAATAAATTATACTAACAACTTTCCAATCTTTGTTAATATTTTAAAGCTTTAGGCGTTTAAATTTTCGAAAAATTTCTGATATCTTTTTTACTGGAATAAGCAATTCTGTTAGTAAACATAAAAATTGATCAGAATCATTAACTGCAAATAAAATAGATCTGATATAGAATACTTTTCATGTGTGTCCTTTTGGAGCTCATCTGACTCATTTGACATTTTCGTGTCGGTGTTATCAATTTAATAATGGTTTGAATTAAAATTAGATTCTCGTATGAAATTATAAAGCACTTGGTACTTCATAATCATTTTCGTGTCGGTGTTATCAATTTAGTAATGGTCTGAATTAAAATTCGATTTTCGTATGAAATTATAAAGCATTTGATACTGTATAATCATTTTCATGTCAGTGTTATCAATTTAGTAATGGTTTTTGTAGCAATGGTTTGAATTAAAATTAGATTTTCGTATGAAATCATAAGGCACTTGATACTTTATATCATAAATCAAGTGAAATACTGTGAATAATTCAAGTGAAATATTGTACTAATTTCTTATTCATATTGCAATAATACTGATTTTAACAGTAATTCCGGGTAAAAAAAACTGTTTAATGTTCTCCAATTTTGACGCATCAGGATTGCAAAAATCATCGTGCATTTTTGAAATTATTAATTAAATGTACATGATTTTCCTTCCCTCTTATTCGCGAAAGATTACGGTTGTTAAATAATAACTTTTAATCAACTTTTACAATTTTCTAAACAAAATATTCCTGAGGTTTCAAAGAAATATTATTTTATTATTTGAAGTTAATAATAATTTATATGAAGGGTAATGCAAAAAATAAGTTAATTTGATTTCGTTTTTTTTTTTTTTTAATAATATATTTTATAAGCTGGCTATGATATAGCTAGACTATAATAGAATGTAATTTTCTCAGATTTTTAAATGTAATATAGTTTATTAAAAAATATCAAATATTATATATTAAATATTATATTGAATAAATGTGCTTTGATCTATCGATTCGAATTTATATCTTCAAATATTTTCGAATATTTTCAAATCCTTTTAAATGCATTTCAGTAGATTTAGAGTTTAGAGTTAAATCTAATTACGAAGACACAATTATAAAATTTTTTAAATTTATCCGTTTAATTATTAGTTTTTTCTACAAATAAAAATTTTTAATCGATTCATAGGCACTAAAATTTTAAACGAAACGATGAAACAAAATGCTGTTGCTATCCTTGTCTCACCACTATTACGCCTGTCACCGATGTATATCTATCTTTGTCACACTCTATTGCCCTCTTTGTCTACGAGTAAGATACATGCTGCCATCTATCGCAATTTTCCTTTTTACACCTTTAGTTCCAGTCGAATCTGAGAAACGCTTAGATGGCAGCACGTTGCATATATCTGTCCTTATTGTACTGTGTTGTGCTCCTTGTCTACGGATGGTACTGCCCTCTGTGCATCTCTGAGTATCTAGAACTAAAAATATGAAAAGAAAAACATTCAACAGATGGCGACACAGTGTTTATGTCGTTAGATATTTTAAGACAGCTCCGATAGATGGCAGTACTTTGTCTATTGTTAGATAAAGAGCGCAATTATTTGTGCGACAAAGCAGATACATATCGTGTGATGAACAAGGAAGGGGAATAGTAATAGCCAATGTTGATACGTGGTTATGCCTTCTGCTAACGTGTATCCAAACATAAACCAGTAATACAAATCAAGTTTGGTCAAATTTAAACAAGTAGATTTGTCGCAAATCGCTCTGCATCGTATCTAACACCATTAACTAAAGATAGAATAGGCCGGACATGAAATGGGACTTTGTTTCTCAGAGTCTGAATTACCAACTAGGAAAAAGAAATTATTGGTTTTTTAGCGCACTCTACACTTAAGCAACAGTAAATTGGAGAACTGTACCACAGACGAAGTATGTGAAGTCTATTTATGCATCTCGTCTGTGGATCAAGTATATATCGAAGTTGGTGAAGTGAACAAAAAAAATAACCATGATCTATCTTATTTATAGCGATAGGTGTATCGTGTATCTCATCTGTATTTTTACGAAACAACATTTATTACTAGTTTTATCAGCAATTCCTAATGAAGTATCATGTGTCGATAACATATTGATTCACTATTTTCATCATTGTAACCTTGAACTTGACTAACGTATTCACTGTTTCTGGGGAGTGTCTGCAATCTTGTATTAGTAACTACTAATTGTACCTTTTGTATCATTTTTATTAGTAATTATGGATCCTTCAATCTTCCCTGAGGAAATTTGGATAAAAATTTTATTATACTGCGATGTACCTGACATTATTGCCATCGGCAATACATGTAAATATTTAAGGAAAGCTTCAGATACTGATTACTTGTGGTGAGTTTGAGTTAAGTTTTATGACAAAACTATTTTGAAGCCAACAACTCATTTATAAAATGAATAAAAATTATTATTGTTGTAAATTTGCAATGCAGGATAAATGCTTTGTCAAGTTTCGTAATAATCAAATAAATTATTGTTGTAAAAAAGAAATTTATCATTGATTAATTTCATTAAAATATGCACAATTTCAAAGAACTATTGCTATCAATTGTTTATACAATTCGTTCATGTTTTTCTAGGAAAATGAAGTGGTTACAGTTGATTTCGAAGGTACACTTTAGATTTCCAGATATAAAGTGTTTACAATTACTTAATGTAAGCTTTAAAGCAATGTGTTATAGATTGTACATGGTAATTACATTAGGAGAAAATGTTCATTTCCCAAAGTGTCGTCACTGCAGTGGTTACACATGTCAAAGAAATTGTGTTGAAAGTTCTAGTGCGAAAGTAGTAATTGAGATTGGAAATAAATACACATGGGTTATTGCACCACATTTTGAATTAAGAAGACATTTCTCAATGTTTGGTGTACCTAAATATAATAATGAAACATATTTAGAACAAACGCAAAATGTTCCAAGTAGCAGTGCACGTCCTAAATGTGATGGGAAATCACTAGCTAAAAAATTTAAATTATTGAAATTATCTGAATTAGCAACCGCTAAAATTCCAAGACCTAGCGGTCCTTTCTGCGTTTTTTGTAATTCTGTGAAATTATACAGAGAAAAAAAGAGATTGATTACTCATCAAAATGATCCAGCATATTATGCAAGACCAAATCCAATTTATGAAAAACTTATAAATGGATATTGCACTGATACTGTTGAAGTACTTGGAATTCCAAATGTCGATCTTGTTAGTCCAGCAGAAGCATTATTAAGTGATGGAACATTCCCTGTTCTTAAAACATTTGTCGGTCACTTATTTCATCAAATGAGATTAACTTCAACATTAAGAAAACCTAATGCAGTGCTAATGTTTTGTGAACCTTTAGCTATGCATCCAGTATTAAGGAAACAATTATTGCATTATTTGTTTCAAGAAGTCAAAGTATCAAGGTGAGAAAATAAAAGGATATATTATAAAAAAATATGCTTTTAAAAAACAATTAAATTTCTAGAGTTTGTCTGGTTCCTAAACCTTTAGCAGCATGTGCAATGCTAGATGTGGAAACTTGTGTGGTAGTCGATAGTGGTGCTCTAAGTACAACAGTAGCTGTTGTAATTGGTGGACGTGTTATGCCACAACGTTGGAGATTGTTACCTGTTGGTGGTTGGCATGTAGCTTACCATTTAAAACAAGCTATGCATTGGTATTTAAAAGGATGTTATCACATTCCTATATCATATCTAGATACATTACCTATTAAAGAAAGATGTAGATTAAGTTATAATATTAAAAATGAAGAAAAGAGGGTAGGACAAAAAACTGGGGAATCTATTAAAGTGAGAGTCCGAAGCTATGCTGATAATAAGCAATTTTTGGTTAGTAAATTTTACATGTATATTCATAGAGTTAGTTTTATCATATTTAACATTACAATAATTATTTACATATTTTTAGAGAGTTTCCTTGGGTTCAGAGTTATATATTGCTCCTGAAATGATGTATATTAATCTTGGTTTACCACAAGTGATAAAAGATGTAACATCTGGTTTATCAGAAGATATATTGCATGATTGCCTTTCACACATTTTGCTTACTGGAGGCAATACACATCTCTCAGGTTTTGGGTTAAGATTAACTAAAGATTTACGAGAATTATTACCAGAGCACAGCAAGATATTAGAAGTGAGAAGTTGTCCTGGTACTCATAGTTGGAATGTTGCAATGGGTTCCACATATGTGCCTTTAGCTGTGCATCCTGGTAAATATAATAGTAATTTTTACATTAAAATCATATTTATATAAATACAATTAATTTAACTAATTATTATTTTAGACAAAACACCGCCAGAATATATAGAAGGTAACCCATTTTGGTTGTCAAGAGAAGAATATGTTTTATTTGGGTGTGAATCATTGGAACAGTAAAACTATGTAATAAGTGATTTCTTGCAATGTCAATACCTTACTTATTATATAAATGCAACTGTTGAAAAAGTAAAGGATAAAACTATCATGAAGAATATCTTCTCATGAATCGCCTTTAAATTAGATGCAAAATATAATATAGATAATTGAAGGAACATTTCAAGATAAAGTGCTTGGACAAAAATAAATATTGGTTGGTATCAGTAATTATCCTCAAAAATATTTTATTACATAAGATATTTTATATAATCAATCAAAGTTTTGAAAAGATAATATATTAATAAAATATTCATTATGTCGTAGGTACTTCTACGGCCCATCTTAGTCTACAATGAAGCGGAAAATGTAAGCTCTACCAATATGTATCCAATGAATACTAGTCTGGTAGGCATACGTTTTCGCACCGACATTGCAAAATTATGCCCCTTAAGCACTTTGTATTACATTATTATTGATCTATGAGTTTTACAACTCCATTAGATATCATACATAATCATATCATTTTCTAATCCTCTTTTAATTTTCTTGACATTTCAAAATGTCATTAGTGACTAAAACCTCAGCTGATCTCATAATTTAGTTAAAATTTCTTAATTGAAATTATAGTAAGTTAAATAAAACTATTTCTATAGTGTAAAACTTCATCAATATCTGGATTTCATACTCGTATTGAAATTCCGTCCATTTTTAAGTTTTCAACTATATAATTTTACATTATTACTCTTTTTTATTCACAGAAATGATCAGCAAATGAGGTACCCAATTAAAAGAAATACCCGATTAAAGAAAAATTTGGGAATATTTATATTCTGATATTATTCCACATCCTTCATTCTATATCAGATTTTGATATTTTACATCGAGTTTACCTGATAACTCATACCCATTAGGATTGAGATTTAATCATTCCATAATCATAACGAATTGTCTATAATTCCAAAATTGTATCTCCTCTCTTCCCTTAGAAGATGATTTTTATGTATATAATCCGCAGATAGTAAATTGTTTTGTACATATAAAATATATATGTTCAATTGCTTGATGTACAGGTAAATAAGTTTAGAAAATATTATTCAAAAATAAATGTTATGAATTTTAAATAGAATATTTCTAAAAACTTGTTCATAATTTCGTAAATTTGCATTATATAATTCTTGCCAAAATGAAAAATATGTATTAATAGCCAAATATATAGCAACATTTCTAGTCACTTTAAATATAATTAAATTATTTAGATTTATCTTCCAAGATAATAAATATTATTAAAAATAAGAATTTATAACAAAACTTTAGGACTATAAATCTAAAATTTTATGTTATTGATAAGATCATTGTTACCTTAAATTTAATTTTGTGAATAATACGCTATTGTTTTGTTATATACATTAAAGATTTTATTAATTGCCAAGCTAAAAGTAAAAGATTATATAATATTTAAAAAGTTATACACATTTTAATACTACTTTAGGCAAAACTTTTATAGTATATAAATTAATTTAAAAAAGATATATAAATATATTACAAATATCATAGTAAACTACATTTTTGTTATTGATAAAGAATCTATGCAAGTTATTAATTTATAATATAATTATTGCTACATATATAGGTGCTTGTAAAACATATGTCAGCATAATGTAAGCATGTATATAATTTAGCAACTTTAAACTATAATATAAATATTTATGACTTTTACAAATTATATGTTTAAAATCCAATTTATGTTATTTTTTAACGATTTAATTAATTTTTTTAATATTATTTTAGCAAAAAGAAAACAAATTCAACTATATTTCTTGACAATGATTTTACTTTTTTACTTCTTATTAATAATATCATCTAAATCATTTTTTTTTTTCATTTTACTTATAAATTTAATTATATACTTTTCAGCTCATGTTTTATACTTACACGAATAAGTGACTGCCAATAATAATACATAATATTTTAGTTGTACTCAAACGATTTTACATTTCAGATATAAATATTTAGTTTACAAAAGATCTGTGTAATTTAATCATTACAAAAGGGCAAAGGAACATTGACTTGTATATATTGTATATATTCTATATTAATTGTACATTAAATATGAAACTATATCTGATCGATACTTTGACTAATTTGTTACAGTCTGTAAAAATAATAGCCTTCAAACTACACAAAACACACAGTACATTTTATATACATATTATAAATAAAAAGTATCAATATCAAATTTAATAGAAATATTCTTTCTGTCTCTAGTAATTAATTTATTTAAAAAAAATGAATTAATTTATATTAAAACATGTAAAAATTATTCATAATTTCCTGTAATTAAGATATATATCACAGAAAATAATGTCAATTAATACATGCATTACATTATCAAGAATGTATAATTCTATAATATATTGTTTACTTTTAAACATGATTATGTATAAATATGTAGTGCACAAAAGTGTACATATTCCTAAAATTGTCAAATTATACGTAAAATAAACTTTGAGAAAACAATCCTTAGAAAATATGCATTTTAAAGCATATATATTTATGCTTGTTTTCATTTTCCGTGTATTACAATTATAATTTTATATAGTCACATATTAAAACAATATAACAGATTTATTATAATCCATTCTTCAATGTAATATTTTAATGTTAATTTCTATATACAAAAAAGTATTTTAAAATAGAAAGGAACAAATTTACATTTCTTATAGATGCAAAAGTCATTTTGTAATTAGGATATTACAATATTATATGTACACGTTATTACTACATTGACAAAAAAATAAATGTTATATAGCTATACAAATGTAATGATAAGTTATATTATTAATTCGCATTTTTTCTAGTTTATTAAAGTTTTATCTTATGCCACAGTTAATGAGTATAAAATTTCATAAATAAATTCGTGCTGCATTTACTTACATTATTTATACAAACGCAGGTTTCACCACACATCATTTAATATACATTTATTATAAATAATATCCGTTACTGCATAGAAATAAATATTTCTCAACTTACTTAGACTTTCAGTGAGAAATGCAAATGCAAATCACATAAATAATATTTATCTGAATGAAATTTATTGGACTAATTTATTTTTGCATTAAAAATATACAAATATTTATATTCTTAATTTATATCTTGGAAGTCAAAAACTTTCTTTTTAAAAGACTGATATGAAAAAGTGTAAAATGTATCATTCAATAAAAATTAGTTATATTAAAAATATTACATTAGGTATATAAATTTCTTGTATCATTTCAAACTGACATGTCTATACTTTGTGATAAAGATATAATGAAGCAGATAAATTTATAATAACTTATACAAATTATAATACACTATTATTTTATAACAAAATTTTTTTATATTTTGATATAATCATGTAATATAATATAATATACAGAATAACTTCATGCTGTTTTAAAATTAGAACACATACATCATAGTTCGTTTCTTACTGTTTCATAAATTAAAATGTAATTACTGATGTATTTATCTTGTTTGGCTTTAAGTAAATATGGACAATACGAACATATGTATATACATATTTTAATTTGGCTCTTATATGTGACATTATCACAAACTGTGGCATTGAAAAATAATAAAAATTTAGGAAATAATAAATCAATATAACTGACACAATTTTTTCCCAATAATTCTTGTATGTAAAATGCAAACATTTAATCTTTTATTTTGAGAATTTTTTCTGAATTTATATAGTTCTCACCATAAATAAATATTCCGTATTATAATAAAAGTTTTACATCTCCAAAGATTTGACAATAAACTTTTACTACAGTGTTTAAAAGATGATTTTGACAAAGAAGCACAGCCATCATTTTTTTCTTATACAACAAAATTATTAATTCATAAATTTCATAAAATTCAAAAAACATTATAGCTATAGTTATATTTTGAAGATGAACTTTCTTCATACCAAAATATCTTATTTCTTAAATAAGATAAAAAACAGCTCTAATTCAATGCCCATGTGCTTCAATGACATATAATCATTTGTTTATACAAGCTATGTACAAAAATGTCTAATCAAGATTTATACACATTTTAAATTTATTGTAAATCTCTCTTCTAAAACTAGAATGCAGTAGAATGTAAGAATATGATTTTCCTTCATTATAGTTAAATAAAATTACTCTAAAAATTTTTATATCTGTCATTTTTTCTCTTAATATCAATATTTAGGAAAACTTAAAAAACTTACTACCACTGCATTCTGAACATTGTTACAAACCACTGCATCCTTAATAAATTAAATTTTTGTTTAACAACAAGAAGTTTTTGCAGGTTCTGCTTCGACTAGATTAAAATCCAAACCACCAGGTCTAGCAAATCCAGTTTTTATTCCATCCCAACCATCTTCTAACTTGTATTCACCAGTCTGTATTCTATTATAAACTTCCTGTGTAACTGTTCGAAATGCTTCTTCAACATTAACTCCAGTTTTTGCACTGGTTTCAATATGATGTACTCCATGTTGGTCAGCAAAAGCTCTTGCTTCTTCCTTTGAAACTTCTCGTCTACTCCCATTGGTAACTAAATCTAATTTACAACCTACCAATGCAAATACAGGGCGATGTGGTTCAATATGCCTGCGAGCGTCCATCATCCATTGAGGAATATGTTCAAAACTTGCTCTGTTACAAACATCATACACAAGTAAGGCTCCAACAGAGTTTCTATAGTATGATTTTGTAATTGACCTAAGATAAACATGTTGCATTATCCTACATGTATTATATTATATATTATATATCTTCTTTTCAATACAATATTATAATGTTAAGAAGATATGTAATAACATACCTAAATCTTTCTTGGCCAGCTGTATCCCATAATTGTAATTTTATCCTTGTTCCATCTTTTACTTCAATTAATCTAGCAAAAAAATCAACTCCTACCGTTGGATCTGAAAGCTAATCAAATAAGATATATATAATCATATTAAGTATAAAAAATCAGGTATAAATACATTATAATTTTTCATTTTATTAAAAAATATACTCTACATGAAGGTCAATGACAGATTGAAGATGAAACAAAAATGTTCAAAAAAACTTTTTTGTTTATTGTTTGTTGATTTATTAATTATATAATGCATGTAATAATTATAAATGGATATTAGAACTAATTCGTTTCACATTATAAAAATTCTCAAGATACTATAATTTTTAGACATTTTTGTATTGTTCTGAATTCTTTATTTAAAAATATAGCAATCAACTACGTAAATATTATTAGCTCAGCAAAATTGGAAATACTCCAAAAATATAAAACAAAATCTTAATTTCGATCTCGACACTAACTACGGTATAATTTTTGTTTTTCAACATTATGAAAAATAACAAGCGAACAAAATATGACGTGATGTTTTAAAATCAATTTGTATCAGCATTATTAACGATAATGGTTAGAATCACTGCGTACCTCTGCGAACTTCCCATCGGTAAAATATTTCAGCAACGAACTTTTTCCGACTGTACTGTCACCGATCAGTATTAGACGGAACTGATAATCAAAAATTGGTTCCACCATTTTGATGTATATTACAATTAAAGTTCTTCACAAATAATATCCTGGTTGTCACTTACAAAGTCATGATTTTGCTGCATATATTCGTCAAGAATCTCACTGACTGTGACATTAATCATCAACTTCCTACCTTTGCCCAAGAATGTACTAAACTTATTGCGCACGACACTGTGCAAATAAATACACAGATCTCGTAAATATCATCGAAATAAAATACATCGTAATTTTTAATAAACTAGCTATTTTTAATCATTCCAGATCTCGCTACCTCTCTCTTCTTTAACTTTTTGGGACGCTCACAAAACCACGCGGTCATAGTATCCACCTGAAATACGTATTTCACGCGTTGCTGTACAGTGGAGAACTTTAGAAACACTGTAATTTAATTTGTAAATGTTTCATTTATAATTTACTTAATATAAGTCTGCAATAAGTATTAAAAAAATTAAAAGAAAACTTCTTTCCTCTACTAATTAAGTAAAGTGGCTAAAAATCATTTCAAAAGTAAATATTCGTTTAAAAAGTATTATATTAAAAATATGAAAGTATACTAAAATTCATTCTTGTTATACTAGTTTTATCCACTATATACTTTGAAGAAATTAAAAGTTAATTAGAAGATTTAATTTAAGCGCTTTATCTACACCAATACGTAAAATGTAGCGTCAATATCATTTGCGTATTGCGTCTCAAATGTGAAATATATATAGATATAATATACATATGTATATATATATACATACATGTGTGTACATGATGTAAAGTATTTAAAAAAAAGTGATAATATTCAAGATTAATAATATAATAAAAGATTACAGAACAATTATCTTCATTCTACTGCGTTTCAAGTTTTATCTGTTATTTTTTGTATAAATACATATTTACTTTCAAAATATAACTTTCCAACTGACCATCTTTTAGAAGTTAGTATAACCTAAGTAAATGGTATTTTTTAATAAAAAATTAACATTTTTTATTACTTTTTAAATTACTTTTTTAAGCTATTTGTTAAGCCAGTATATCAATAATATATTTAAAACATTTTTCTAGAAAAATGGACGAAAAAGAATTAATGAATCAAATTACTGAATTACGTGAATTGCTACGTATAAAGGAAGCTCAACTAGTTGCTTTAAGGCGCGAAAAACAAATCTTACAAGATTACGGTTTGAGTAATGGAGAAATATTAAGATATAGCAGACAAATATTTTTACCAGAAATTGGTATTAAAGGTGTATCTTATTTATAAAATATTAAACTTAAAATAACATTGATTTTACACAAAATTTATTGTTTTTTAATATTTTTATTTATCTTTTATTTATTGTTCCCTAATAGTTTCTATTCATCTATAACATCTTTCATTATACGATTTTAGGTCAAATAAAATTAAAAAACAGCTCGATATTGATTGTAGGAGCAGGTGGACTTGGATGTCCAGCTGCATTATATTTAACATCTGCTGGAGCTGGACAAATTGGTATAATTGACTATGATGATGTTGAGATTAACAATCTTCATAGACAATTGTTATATGCAGAAACACACATTGGGACACCAAAAGTAAATGCTGCTGCAGAAAATCTTAATCGGTACTTGTATATCAATGCAGTACACAGATATTAGTAGATATAAGTATATAAGTTAAGTGTCTATTTGATGAGAAATTCATGATGTATCCATATTAATTTCAGTTTAAACAGTGATGTTAAAGTTATTCCATACAAAATTCAACTAGATAGCAATAATGCTTTGAATATAATAAAGTCTTATGATGTAGTGATAGATGCTACCGATAATGTAGCTACACGTTACTTATTGAATGACGCATGTGTTCTAAGTAATAAACCCTTAGTATCTGGATCAGCATTAAAATTTGAAGGTCACTTATCTGTATTTAATTACAATGGACCTTGTTATAGATGCATATTTCCTAAACCTCCTCCTCCAGAAACAGTAACAAATTGTGGGGATGGTGGTGTTTTTGGTCCAGGTATTATTTTTTAATTAATTTATTGATTTTTTGATTTAAAAAACATTCATTGCTTAATTTAATTACAGCCGTTGGTACCATTGGTGTCTTACAAGCACTAGAAGCGTTGAAGATAATACTCGATCTCCCGCATGTACTATCTGGTCAACTTCTATTATTTGATGGACTAGAAACGAAGTTTCGTAAGATAAACTTACGTGGTAAAAATAAGAACTGCGCTATTTGCGGTGAACATCCAACTCTATACAAATTAATTGATTATGAAACATTTTGTGGTGCAAAAGCAAATGATAAAGAGTCTAAATTAAATTTATTAAAAAACGAAGAGAGAATAAGCGTGGAAGAATATAATACATTGAAATTAGGCACAGAAACTCATCTCTTAATCGACGTACGATCGCCCGAAGAATTTGACATTTGTCATTTAAAAAATTCTATAAATATACCATTGCGCGACATTAATAATAACGAAAAAGTAACATTAATAAGGAATAGAATACAAGAAATAGAAAAACAGCACAATGATGCTAGTTGTATGTATATTTTACTTAATATTTTATGTTAAAATTGAAAGTACACACAAAATGTATGTATATATTTGTTTTAGTATATGTTATGTGCAGAAGAGGAAATGATTCACAGAAAGCTGTGAAAAGTCTTCAGGAAGCATTTAAGGGAAGTAATATAGAAATAAAAGATGTGATTGGCGGCATTCATGCTTGGAGTAAAAAAATTGATTGTACATTTCCTGTATATTAACAACATAAAATTCTAATTGTTTACTTCCATGTTTATTGAATTTTATTCATAAAATTAATGTGTATAATTAAGTGATATTCGACATTACATTTTTATAAATAATGTATATGTGAATAATACATACATTTATAAAAATATATAGTTATATATAAAGTGAATTAATTCATTTAGAATATTTTTCTATTTCACAACTAGTTAAACTGGTTTCTGGATGCTTGTAATGGGAATCTGATAAATTTCTTAATTTTTCTGCTGCTTGTTCTGGTGTTAAGTCTCTTTGTGCTTGTGCAAGAAGTTCATAACCAACCATATGTTTCTTTACAGTCGCTGAACGTAATAATGGCGGTAAGTAAATTCCATGGAAAGTCCAATAAGGATAATCTTGCTTTACATATGGTCCAGTTGGCGCTCCTTCACGTAAAATAAATTAAATATCATGATTAATTATAATACCTTAATAAATTTTTTTAAATGAACATATTTAATAATAATCAACCATACCATGCCAACCCATAGAATAAGGAAAAGAGCAATGAAACAAGTTATCATATTTGGTACACAATATTTTCATAGTAGCTGCTAATGATTCTTGTTGACTTTCTGATAAATCTTGCATCCTAGATATTTGTTTCTTAGGCAGTACCATAGTTTCATATGGCCATACTGCCCAGAATGGTACTAAAACTACCCAATCTCGATTTTCCAATACAATGCGCTCCTATATATAATATAAACCACACTTAAATTAAAAAATTTTAATTTAAATATTTTTTATATGATAATTTACCTTTTTGAAAAGCTCTTTCTGTACATAATCTATAAGAAGCGGCTTTTTGTTACGATTATAATAATCGCTGAGATATTTATCTTTTATTTTAGCTTCATTTGGTAAGAAAGAACTAGCCCAAATTTGACAATGAGGATGTGAATTGCTACAACCCATTACGGCACCACGGTTTTCAAAAATTTGTACCCAAGTCCATTTTTCTCCCAACTCGAGCATTTCGAAAATCCAACTAAATGATAATGATATTTATTACATAAAATATTAATTTTATTAACAAACTAAATATATTAGTAACATACCGTTTAACCACTTCTTTAATTTCAGAAATTTTCATAAGTGCTATAGTTACATTTGATTTTGGATGGAAACACATCACTTTACAAGTACCTCTGGCAGCATCCATTTGAAATAATTCATCTTCTGATTTTGATGGACTAGGAACTGATTCCAATAATGCAGGAAAATCATTGACAAATGAATATGTATTTTCATATATTGGAGTTATCTAGGAAATAAAAATGTTTAAAATCAAAAAATCGTATAAATCCTTTTAGTTATTAGCTATTTAAAAACATTACTTGTCCACTAGCTCTGATATTGCCTGGACAAAGTGGATTATCTGGGTCATAATCTGGGAGATTTTCTTCTATGTCTGTTTCGATTTGTCCTCCCCATGGTCGTTTCATTCGATGTGGTGATACTAGTACCCATTCTCCCTTCAAGGGATTATATCGAATATGTTGATGTTCTATAAAATATTGATCTAATAGATGATACATAGAAGTTGAATTTGAAATAATTTCTTCATAAGAACAGAGATTCTAACCAGTAGGATCAAATTCTTCCTTTAGAGCTTCTGTGCCATTTTTTAGGCTGTTTCTATCACCTGGAAATTTTCATGTATGTATTAATTTTTATGCATATATACAATATATTTATATGCATATACACAAAATATTTATATTATATGTATATTATGTCAATGTATTAAAGTACATTATCTAATATAAACATATAATCAATCAATATCTGTAGATAGTTTGTTTCATTATTATATATTATATATACATTACTTACAATTTTGGAATGCTACGAATCGTAATAAATTTTAATCGTTTTATGGATTTTGTTTCAATCAGAACAATAAACAGTGTACAATATAGATTCACACAGGTTTCGTTTCGATTTAGATTATACAGAATGTATAACAAACTGTAAAAATTATTATTAGTTTCACAAGCCACTATACGTTTAGAACAAAAAAGAAATAAAATGAATTTGTGGAAAGTCATATGATCGACACTTATGTCAAAAATTTATTTACTCAGAAAAATCTTATGCGATCAATAATGTACAGTTTTTATGAATAATATATGAATAATATTTTTATCTTTTATAAATGTTCTCTTTTTTTATAAAACGTTTAATATCGATTAATATGAAATATTTTTACCTGTTGATGCAGACATTTGTACTTTGGTAAATAGCGTCGCTTAAGTAATGTATCACAGCATACTGGAAAAGTTTTGTATATCAGCATAGTACTTTAAGAAATACGTATCATTTTTGCCATATATAACATACTCATGTAACTAAGTAAAGTAATTTAGATAACATTTCCATTGCTTACCAAATCTAATGTTCAATGTGTGCCTATATCGATGTGTGCCACATATATACGCTGTGCTACATGTATAAAATTAATCAGATTCGATCTCGATCAAAACAAGCTTAAGATGTTAAGAGATAGCGGGCTTTATTTATAGGATACATGCATATATGTAGTATATATATATTGTCAATAAAAAAATTTCAATTTAAACGGTTTCATTTTTTCACATAGGAGTGTTAATATATTTTCTAATTAATTATACTAAAGAATCTACTAACATGAGTGCTTTTATATACAAAAATATTCATGACAAAACACATTAGAACTTTTAGAACGAAATATTTCTTCAAAATTAACAATATTAAAGAACTTTTAATTAACAATATTAAAGAACTATTCTTTTTTAAATTATTATTTAATTTTTAAATGAAGATGTTAAAGAGAAGAATAATTTTATGTAAAAAAAAAAATTCATTAAAATCGTGAGTAATTTATAGATTGATGATTTAAAAAATTTTCCAAAAGATCAAATTTTATGTTGATCGTGATTATATTTATTGTAAACAAATGTAAGAACAATTCGTGTAAATTGCTCCAATAAAAATTTATGTCGTTCAATGTAAACTACTTTAATACACATCTTGCATGATTTGACGTTTCGAAAAGTTGCCTGCACCTTTTAAACGCAACCATTATTGCGAATATGGCGCGCGGTAGTAGTGCTGGTTTTGATAGACATATTACAATTTTTTCACCTGAAGGGCGGCTTTACCAAGTAGGTAAGATTTATAAAAATATTTTGTATTGAAACACAAGTAACTTTTCTTTCTTTATCGATATCTTTCAAATTACTAACTTCTACACTAATTTTCTATGCGGAAACCATGATAGCGTGATCAGCAATTTTGAACTTTTTGAACTAAAAGTATTAAATATTTTGCAGAGTATGCGTTTAAAGCGATAAATCAAAGTGGTTTGACATCCGTTGCTGTAAAAGGAGTCGATACAGCTGTCTTTGCTACACAAAAAAAAGTGCCTGTAAGATAACCTCTTGTTATTGTTATTTCTAACAGTTTTTTATGTTATCCTCTCTTTCCCGATCCATGTAATATAATATTTAAGGAATTTTTTGTAAATAATGGAAATGAAACTTATCAAATTTAAGGATATTTGCTTTATAGGATAAGCTGCTTGATGCTTCCAGTGTTACTCATATTTTTCAACTCACTGAGCACATCGGTTGCCTTGTGACAGGCATGATAGGTAAGTTTTAAAGAAAAGGATTATTCTTTTAATCATTATTATATGAATATTTAGATTTTCCCTTTTATTATATCATATTTATAAATTTTCCCTATTAAAGACTTTTTCTGATATGTATTTTAGCTGACAGCAGATCTCAAGTTCAACGTGCAAGATATGAAGCAGCTCATTTTAAATACAAATATGAGTATGAAATTCCTGTAGATGCATTATGTAGACGTATTGCAGACATCAGTCAAGTATATACGCAAAATGCAGAGATGCGGCCTCTTGGATGTTCTATGATGCTTATTTCATATGACAAAGAAAAAGGCCCTTGTGTTTATAAAGCTGATCCTGCAGGATATTATTGTGGTTATAGAGCTATTTCTGTTGGTGCTAAACAAACTGAAGCCAATTCTTATTTGGAAAAAAAGTTGAAGAAAAAACAAAACTATGATCATGATGAAACGATACAGTTAGCAATTACATGTTTATCTACTGTTTTATCAGTGGATTTTAAACCTTCAGAGATAGAAGTTGGTGTTGTGTCAAAAGACAATCCCAAATTTCGGTAACTATATTATTAATATTGTTTGTTTCATATATAAAATGGTTATAAATAAATATCTAATATCTTTGTATTTCAGAACTTTAACAGAACAAGAAATTGATAAGCATCTTACTGCAATTGCTGAGAAAGATTAATGATTTTATGTATAATTCATTACAAATAAATGTCATGTCTTACTTAGTACTGTTTCATTTTTATATTTAAAATATAAGAAAAAGTATATTATTAAGTTCAAAATATAATTGTTAACACAAATAAATTATACACATTTGTATTTAATTAAACAATTAATTTCAAAGTTATTGAAGTTAAATTAAACAATTTATTTCAAAGTTTTTATTTATAAAATAGTTACAAAATAGTTGTTATTTGTAAAATTATTTTCCTGATGCTGTTGCTAAAGGATTTCGTAGAACCAAAATGACAGAATCTCCTCTCAAAAACATTTTTGAGATAAATCTGTCTTTATTTACTGGCTTTGCCTAGACAGAAAAAATTGTTCTTTTACATTTTCAATCATAAACTTTAATAAAATGTTTTGTGCTTATAGTATTTTACCTTCTTTTTTCCTTTTCCAGTACGTGGAAGTTCAGTCCACATTTCTTTCACATTTTCTAAAACCATGTTACAATGTCTATCAAATGCTTTTACTCTTCCTAATAATTTTTTGTTATTTCTGCAATTAATTAAAACTTGCGTATTATTTTTCACAGATTGAGTTAATACTGAAAGTGGCCCAGTGTTAAATTCTTCTTCTTCTCGTTTTGCTAATTCCTCAGGAGTCATTTCAGACTTTGGCTTAGTTAAAGAAGACCTAAAAATAGTTTTTTGTTAGAATAAAATTTAAATATCGATAGAAATTTAAAAATCATAGGCATCATGTAAAATTTATGTAAAAGAGTAAGGTTAAGTTTTGATATAAATGCGAAAATTAATGTGATAGAAAATACTGTATAAAATATACTGTGTAAATATTTACATTTTGATGAATTTCTTCTACGAATGAAATTGATATTGAAAATTTTTTTTAGAAACAGTATACAAATTATGTAGTAACTGTATTTAAATTGATCAACACGGCAATACAACGCTTAGTTTACTTCTGATCACCTTTGGGTTTGCAGTCCACTTTTAGTATAGCTATATAGGTTATATTTCTTAATTTTACCAGCATGTAAAAAGATTTCTTTGTATGTATATTTGTAGATATATTTATGTTTATAAAACATAAGTTATCCCTCCGATGTTTTGTCATTTTATTACAGCACTTTAGAGGTTAAATCTATGTACATATAAGCTAGTACATTTTAAAGTATATTTGAAAAAAATAACAATATGAAAACAGCTCGTCAGAAAAAAGCAAGGAGAAATTTAGGTTTCTTTATTAACAATTTTAAATTTAGATCGCCGTTTCAAGTTCTTATTGATGGTACATTTGCTTTCGCTGCATTAGAGGTTTGCATTAAAACATGTATATACTTAAGTCATTGTAACTGGAATTAACATTTTATGTGAATTTGTAATAATTTTTAATTCTTTTTAGAATAAGTTTAATATACAAGATCAGTTGTCAAAATATTTTCAATCTGAAATAAAATTATTAACTACACCATGTATTATTTTGGAAACAGAAAAATTAAGTTCATTTTCAAAAGCAGTTAGTGGTGCCATGCAAATTGTTAAGCAATATCCTATACATAAATGTGGACATGAAAAACATTCAATTAGTGGCACAAAATGTTTACTATCTATGGTTGGAAAAAATAATGCATTTAGGTATAATAAAAATTTCACTAGGTAGAGATTAAAAGTTAACGATATTGTATGTATATGTTTGTTACATTTTTTCTAGGTATATAATAGCTACACAAGACAGAGAACTTCAAGATTGCTTAAGAAAAATTCCAGGTGTTCCAATATTATATTTACATGGTAAAGCACCAACTTTGGAAGCACCTTCACAAGTTAGTCGTGAATATGCTAAAAATATATGTAAAAGATTAGGAATGACTAAATGGGAAAAAGAAAATATTAAAGTATTAAAAGAAGTAGCTGGAATAACTGATGGAACAGAAGTAAAATTAAAAAAGAAAAAGAAAAAAAGTGGCCCAAATCCTCTTAGTTGTTTGAAGAAAAAGAAAAATAAAACACGAGTAGAAGTTTCAAGAAATATTAAAGAGAAAACATCTGGAACAATTAAGAAAAGAAAGAAAATGAAAATAACAACTCATATTAAAGAAGCATTGATTGCAGAAATAAAGAATAAACAGTTAGAAAACAAGAAATAAGTTAAATAAATGCATAATTAAAGAAGCCTGTATACATAATATTCATATAAATTTTGAACATTTGTGTAAATTTACTTTTATTTATGATACACATACTTCTTTTAGTTTACAAAATTGAAATAATTAGAATAATTATATAAGATGAATTCATTCATAAATATAAATATATGTACTTGTTTTTCTAGTAAAATTGTTATTTATGAATACATAAAGTATACAAATATGTTATTTATGCTTATGTAATAAAAAATACTGAAAGTTGTAACTAAAAAATCTCACAATCATGTACATTGTAAAGTTGTTTTAACAATTTTTATACAATATTGTATAATATTTGATTTTACTCATGAATATATATAATTATTCGTTACATTTTGAAATACTCTAGTCTTTATATTCCTTCACTATGCAAGTAGTACTAATGGTTACATTTAATAAGAATAAGAAAAATAAGTAAATGGAATCACATTATGATTAAGTAAGATGTATAACACTATATATATATTACATCTTCATTTCAATATTTAATCATATAACAAGCACGACATAAATTTTGAACTAGGAACTTTTATATGTAGGAAACATACAAAAATATAAAGGAAATATAAATGCATATAAGTTGAACATTATTTACATCCATTTAAGAATTATATAAATTGGGAATATTGAAACTATACATTTGTTATGATATGAAATAATACATAAATAAAAGATGAATTTTGATTATATGTTCATATACGCGTTATACAAATTATTATTCAATAAGGTGCATTAAAATTGTTTCATATATTAATTTAATATATTATAAAATTTGAAATACAATTTATTAATTTTAAAATGTTTATTTTCTCATAGTAAGAAATATAGAATATCTTGGTTTGTTACATTACAGTTAGCAGCGTATTGAGTAAGAGAAAATACGAATGAGATAAAGATAAAGTAAAATAATATGGAACAGAAATACTTCAAAATACATATAGTTTTTAAACACAAAATTTATGAAACATTCTTTCGTTAAAAAAGTCATTAGAGCTTATTACTTAAATTCTAATTAAAATTTACTATAAGATTTAATGTGTATTATACAATATGTCATGAAATGCATTATTTATAGATTAATACAAAGTTAACATTTAGGAGAATTAAGAAAATGTATATTAATATAATCATATGTAGAAATCTTATTTTGAAATTCGCTTTAAATATAAGAACAATACATTTTATAGAACAGCAATTTTACAGAAAAATGCTATCAAAAAAATGTAATTATAATTATTAAAAATAAATCTTTTCTGTATATCATAAAAGTTATTAAATTCTTTTTATATCGATAGAATAATATTGGTGATTAATAAAACTTTATTAATAATCGATAAAATAATTTATAATTTAAATTGTTTTTATTATGTATTGTCATTATTTTAACGACAATCTTATTTATATCACTTTAGTTATATTGTATAATACATTTATATAATATTTATTTAAGTCAAGAAAATAATTTTTTGGTAAACTCTCGAATATTTTATAAACATATATGCTTCGTAAATTAAAAAGATTATAGGTGCAAGTTGCGACAAATTATGTAAACTGCTAACGATAAGTCGTTATACAATATTCTGTCATATTCTATGTAAATTACTGCCAGTCTTAATATGAAGATAATGTGAATATTACTTTCAGATTAAGATATTTTTTTAAACAAAACATATAAAACCTGATGTTAATGAGGTTTCTCTACTCCATACGTATGTAACATCAAGGTTGTTGATTTAAAAGTGCGCGTGCAGCCATAGCTAACATTTTCATGCGCCGAATAGAACTGTGACTTGGATTAGCTGCTACAAAAGTAGCCAACTGAGTTTGCAAAGTCATTAACACAGTACCCATATGTTCTCGTGTTACTGGATCATTAGGATCTAAATTTAATATTGCCTCTTCAAGCCACCTAGTAAATAAACATAAAAAATCAGAAAATTTTATTTAATATTATTAAGTATTATTAATAAAAAGTTACCTATGCTTAAGTTCTGTACGATGTCCTAAATCTGCAGATAACTGCTGTACAAGTGAAAGAATTACAGGTTGTTGTAAAATACATCTTGAAGTTTGACCTTGAGGTCCTACTGAAGAAAATACTCTGGAAGGTTCTGTTTTTTCACAAACTAATACTACCAATCCTAAATCACTAGCACTAAGAGCTTGTTGGAAGGCAGCATTTAATTGTCCTCGTTGAAGAAGAGATATAACTCGCGCTTTATCATCGGCAACTGCAGATACTGGTATAGCAGGTGTAGTAGCTCGTGAACTATAAAATAATATATAAGGTTAATTTAATCTTTTGACATAATGTTTATGTTACACTTACCGCGCATTTGTTATCTCAGAAAGTTGTTGATTCAAATGATCTTTAATAAAATCACGAATATATGTCATTTCTCCTTGAAGAATAATTAAACCTCTATTTATTTCGGTTTGTAGTTCTTTGCGAACTAATGCTGATAATGCTTCGCTTTGTTGTTCATTTTTTTGTTGATATTGTTTATCTGCAATTGCATCCACATTTTGAAGGTCTAAAAAAATAAGAAAAATGTTTTATATAAAATTAGATTGGTACTTTTTAAAAATTGTATCAAATGTCTTACATTCATGAGTACCCCTAACGAAAGCATCTTGTACTTGTCTAAACATTGTTTGACATGCTTTTTCCATGCCAGGTAAAAGAATATTTGTAAAAGCTTCTTTAAATGCTGCGTCTAATGCTGGTTTTGCTGCATTCATTGCTGCCATAGCAAGTGTATCTTTTATATGATTGCTATTAATTAAATCTGTCAAATTCTTTTTTAAGAGTTCATCCATTCGAGCAGAATCTAATCTAAGTTGGTGCTTTAACGGTTCTATTGTGTTTTCTATAATACGTGGTAAAGTAGTCTCAATTTTATCTTTAATTGTTGTTTCAAGTGTCTTAAGAAATTCGTGTTGGCGAGCCATTTGGCCATATAATGTTTGTTCAAAAGTTGCAGTTTGTTGTTGCGTAGCTCGTGTTAAAGCAGAATCTATTCTTGTGGAAATTGGTGTCTCTTGTCTTAATCTAGTCACTTCAGTACGTAATTCTCTTAATTCTTGTCGCTGATCTTGAATTATTTCTAAAATTGACTCTATTTTATTTATTAATTCAAGAGTATTTAATTCATTTGCTGTTTGCCAGGTATTTTCAGCATTTCCTGTAGTATGTGTCGTCGATTTTGATTCGTCTTTTAATTTTTTTCTTTTTTCTTCGTCGTTTGCGAATCCATCAGCTTCCTGCATTGCATGCCTGCTTACATCTTTTAATAATACCATCGGAATATTACGCCAATCTTCATCAGCAGTATTGGTAGTTTCTGGTTTATTCTCAGTTTCTGGTTCTTCATCTTTTGAAAGGGATAAAATTTCTCTTACTTCTCTGGATGGACTGCTACTACTACTTGCAGGTGCTTGTTCTTCTAACTCGCTTGTGGCTAGTGGTGGATCTGCATTTAAAGCCTGTACCGCTTGTGCAAGCGAGGGACTAGCAGATAAGACTTTACCTAATTCTGGACTACTAGGGCGAGAATCTAATTCATTATTTTCTTTCTTAGCAGGCGAACTGAATGCATCAGGCGTCATTAGATTTAAGCCAGTATTATGATTTGTTGCTGTTTCAATTGTAGTAGATAAGGAACGATTTTCTTCACAATTCTCCCCTGAAATTCCATTGTGATTAACATTTCCCATATCTGGTAAGTCTTCATGGTAGCCCAGTGCATCATGAGTCAGTGTATCCATGAGGCAATTACCACTCACTTGTGAGGCAGGTTTAAAAGCAATGTGACATTCTTGTAATGATTTCGGTTGGACTAGATACATCCTGATAACAAGTTGCTCTTCGGTATCTTCTTCAGAAGGACATAAGTCTTCCAGTGATTCGCCAGTGGGTCGTACTTTACGTAAACCAGCGTCAACAATTCCAAAACTCAATATTGGATATGGAAGAAGGAATTCCGATATTGTATTTACTGATGTTACTTCGTCATTATCTTTTGTAAGACTTAATATATATAGAACTTTGTTGTATATATCTGATAATAAAAGATATCCTGCGCTAAGATCTAAGCCAGCTTTCAACACCGGTAGTTTACCGGTAGAAGGTGTTGGTGCAAATTTAATGGTCTGCAAACAGGACCACACTTCACAAGACCAAACTTTTAATTCTGTATTATTGTCACATCCAGTTATGGCAAACCTCCAAAATTGAACTCTATGGAACAAAATAAAATAATCATTATAATTATAATTTCAATGATAAAATGAATTTAATAGAATATACTTTTAAGCATTGCTTACTCTGGATGGTATGTTTTATGATCATCTAAGAAGAACAAGCAGGAAATAGGTCGTCCACCATGTGGTCTCCATTGATGTAAACAACGAGGTTGTGCTTGATTACCATGAGGATTACTATGTAAATAAACTTGGAAGAATTTGACTTCTCCATCAAAACTAGCTGTAGCTAAAGCTGTGCCATCTGGACTGAATGTTGCTTCTATGATTGTGTCAGAATGTTGGTCTATTTCCAGCATGCCTCCATTTTCCTTTACAGCTGGATCAGTTGCCTATCATTTAGTCAAACAGTTGGATACTTTGTTCATTTTGTATGGATTTTATAATCTGTAAGTAAGGTACACATTCACCTCTATTGATCTGAATCTTGCTGAAACAGTATTAACTGACCACAACTCTACTTTGGAACCACGAGTTAGAACTAAAAGCTTTGAAACTTTATCTCCATCTGATGGTACATCTTCAGGAATATATGGACACCATATCACACGATGACTGGTAGGAGATATATCTTCTGCATCTACTTGTAGCAATAAACTGCATAACAATTCAGATGGTGTTGATTCGATGTTATGTATAAAAAGATTTCCCAAATAATCAACACATGCCAAAATTGCATTTGAAACATGTGCAAAAGCTAGGTCTTGTATTGCTGCACGCATTCCTCTTAACAGAGCTCTTTGTTCCATTTCTTTATATACAACTCTAACCATACCTCCTCCATTACCAACTAAATAATGTTACTTTCTTAAATTCAAACAACAAGAAAATAGTTGTAATTTAGATCTGAATTTAGATTACCTTTTATACCATAAGCTAAATATTTTCCAGACATATGAACAGCTAATAATTGTCCTGGATAAAAGTTATGCTCCCATGTAAAATCAACAATATTTTTTAGTTTCACCTTTGAACTACCATGATTATGTCCTCCTGGCGAAGGAATAACAACAACATTGGTACTATATAATTCAACTGAATGTTGATTTTCTTGCCCAGTGAATTCCCTAAGTAAAGAATATAATTTTTATATGTATCTTTATATTCAACAATAAAAAAGAAATTAAAACGAGGTTGATAAATTTAATCATGAAGATCATTGATTAACACACAAAATTCAAAGATTTTCATTGTAATAACATGGTGCAATAGAAAAGCAGCTAAAAATCAATTATTATGAATAAAAGAGATGTAAAAGTGTACAAAAATTATTATTTTCGTTCAACAATAACTGAAATGAAGCGAGGATTTAACAAATACTTACACTGTTTGCTGGTATTGAAGTTTTAGGTTATCCTCTCCTGTTTTGATCATTTTGCCAAACGTTACAGCGTATTCTAAAAAGCGGTAAAATTAACAAAATTTTAGGCGATTAGCGTGCCGGAATTCGAGCAATTCTAACCCTTGCCGGTGGCACGCCTGATAATGATATTTTGTCAGCCTTACCTTACGTGCATATATTTGCCGGATTGCAAAATTTTGTCTATTGACGATTGCGTCCTTTATTTTAATAAAACATATGTGAATTATTGTTTCATCGATGCAAATAAATAATGTGCTTCACGAACATAATTCAATGAAATTATCAAAAACGAAATGTCAGACAGTCATTAGATACTTGTCAGAAAAACGGACCGGAAGTGCACCGATGGTATTTTATATATTTCGCACTATGTGGCGCTTTACGTTATCTTAATTTCAAACGTTTCAATCGCTAATCATTTTTGATTCAATCATCTTTCAGACCGCACAGGCAAGAAGACAATTATTATTATTTAAATATCTTCCTTTATCTAAATAAATTATGAAACAATCATATCAGTTGTAAGAATTATGCTTTCGGTATTGGTGAATTTGTAATTATAATATGATTTAACAATAATCTACATAGAATATTTTTTTATTTAAATGATTACTCGCAAGGAATCCTGTATTGTAGTTTTTACACTTTATTTGGTATAATACACTATAATAGACAGGCTTTTCTTTCCATATGTAACTATCTTTTGGAAAATGGCAGTAGTGCTCAAACGTACATAGACCCAATGAAAGTGGCAGTAAATTTTTCAAATTTGAATATCTTTCAATTGCGCTTGAATATAAATAAATTCTAATGAGGCATTCTTCTATTTTTTTTTTTTTAACCCTTTGCATCTATTTCGAATTCCTCTGGTAACTGATAAAAATACATATATGCTGTTTCGATCTTGATTTTTTGAAATCGAAAAATTAAAGATTTAAAAAAACAATGGAATTGAAGAAATTTAAAAAAAAAATTACTAGTGAAAATAGTAATAAAATCGAATATATATCATACAAAAGGATTTTTAAAAAAGTTATTGAACGAGTGTATATCATTTATTTAAGACTGTATATTTCACTGAGGAACCTAGTCCATTGAGATGCTACGTTTATGAAGCAATAAGAAATAAACAATTTTTTAAAATCATTTCTGTGCATTTCTTTTTAAATATAAGAATATTCCTGAATAAAATAAACTTAAGAAGAGAAAAAAAAAACATTTCTCGACAGGATCGGAGGTAATGGAAATACGATTGATATTATATAAGAGAATCTTTGAAAGTCCACAAAGTGATCAATGTTTCTGTGTAAGTTTTATTCTATCACGTTCCAGTCATATTTCATGCAACGAAGTAGACTAAAATATTCGAGGCACCGAGGCAACGTTTTCTCTGAATTTTCAATTCCGAATCGTACAATCCAGTATTTTTGTCCTGCGTTTTTCAATCATTAATCGTCAACGAGAAATATTCGTTTTTCTTTTTCTTTTCTATCTGTGGCTATTAAGATGTTTTTATTTCATCGCTGAAAATAACAATGTTGTTCTTTTAACTTTACTAGTACCGCTATGAATCATGGAGCGCGTTTAGTAAGAAAAAGAAAGTTATTAAAGAATAATTGACGTGCACTATTGTCAATGTTACTGTGTGTTACTTTTATATATACAGGGCGCTTCATTTAAATATGTCAACAGTTATACTTGTTATAATAATTATACTATAGGAATATGTTGAATTTGAAATAACGAATCCCTTCAGTTTAAAAGTACCGAATAAGAAGAATTGACGCAGAAGTATCAAGGGCTCTGTTATATAATTTATTTATTATTTATTAATTAAAATTTAGCGATTCTCCGTTATCTCTGAAAATGTACAAATTATGTTTAAAAATGGATCACCCTGTACTGCATATACTAATCATAAATCAGAATAGAAATATTTCTATCTTGAGGAAATCGATATTTCGCATCAAGGGTTAAAAAGTTCGTTTCAGTTGCAGATAATCCGTTCTTGCGGGTTTTCACGCTACTGCACACGGGAATATATATATATATA